TATTCAAAAAAATTCAATAACTAAAAGACAAAAATCTGACAAAATAAACATACATAAAACGTGACTCACAATAACTTTTCTCTAGAATGACTAAAAATTAAAATTCAATCTTGTAAATGCTCCATACAACTTTATTAAACTTTTCAATAGATATATACACACACACAATTTAGTAGTGGAAATTTGAATAATGAATGAGACAATTACAGAGAAACGTTACTGCGAGTCACGTTTTAGCTATAAACGTGCTTCGGAGTAAGGAATTATAAAACGTTACTAACAATAACGTTTTATGTCTGTTTACTTAGAACTACGTTTATACTAACTTTGTAAAATTTCAAATAAACATATTATCTTTGATAAATTGATTTTAATAATAACCTATTTTGGTCAAAAATTCTATCCAAACAGTTATGAAAAGGTAACTACAATGAAATAATATGAAATGAAAAGCAATACACAACATACAAATTAAAAGAACAGTTATGACAACAAAATAATGCGATAATCGATCGGTACAAGCAAACACCAAAAAAATAAAAAAATAATAAGATTAAAAATGAAATTTTTACCTTGTCTTGCACTGCCACTATATGTACCACTTCTCCATCCATCAACTGAACAAAAACCATTACTCACTACACAAGAATTAGAAAATGAAATTCCATTACAAGTCTTGGAATACTGAAACTTAGCCAAAACACAACTCATTTTCTTCTTATTTCCCACACCAACTTTACAATTATACTTAAAAAACCCAAAAAAATCCTTCTTTGCCCCATTTTCACAAACAGCTGACATGCATGCAACAACAGACACCATTGATGAAGACATTCTTGATTCTTTGTCTAATTTTCAATCAAAAATCAAATCTTTTTTCCCTTTAACTGATTAACATCAAGAAACATTAAAAAAGACAAACAAATGGGGTTTCTTTAAATGAAGCAAAAAATGCCTACAGAAACAGAGTTTTTCAAGAATTATATAGGTGGGGTTTCCTATATCTGGATCTCTTTGTCCATAACCTATAAAAATTACAACATTAGAGCCTCAAAATGCTAAAAGTTTCGAACTTTACCATTTAAAGCAAATGTACACTCCTTAACTGTATATTTACTTTTTTCCATCCATCTAACAAACTATCTATATTTACATTTATTTTTTTTTGGTTTCCATCCTCCAAATCCCGCATTGTAGCTCTGATCAAATTTGGATTGGACATGTTCTATCAATAAGTGGGGGCGGATCCGTCCATTCTTCGTCGAAAAATTATAAAGTTAAGTGTTTTAGTTTAATAAATATATATATAAGTATTGACATCTTTTGACACAATTTAAAGAGTTTATTTTCGTGGTTAAGGTGTTGTGAAGAGTCGTTGAGTAGTGTGTTCTAGTCATGTAGCTATATATTTTAACCATCGATACCTTATAATTATGTTTTTTACGACAAGATTTGATACCCCTTAGTGACGATCCTGGATATGATACCACTAACAACATTGTCTCCACATGTAGAGTTTCAAAACCTGAAACCTCTAGTCAAAGGTGGACTAATCTCACAACTCATGTCGGTTATATTTATGCTTTTATTTAATAAGTCTTTAATATAAATTAATGTCTGAATAAAATGGGAAATTATACAAATATTTTTCTATACTATGATCGAAATTTCAGAGGCACGCTTTAACTAAACTAAGATCTTATTACCTGCAGAATCCATTTTGTTTTGTTATTTTGTGCACATTTTTAGCTTACGTGAAATCCAAATATCTCACACGCACATTAATTGCGCAAAGTCACGGAGAGAGCCACATAAGATAAAAGGTGTATAAAATTATAAATAGGATCTTAGTTTAGTTAAAGTGTGTCTCTGAAATTTCAGTCAATAGTCTAAGAGGTACTTATGCATTTTTCCGAATAAAATAATTGAGTTTGATTGAATTTATATTTGATTTTAGCTCTGTTTAAGTATTTTGATATATTCTACATATTTTTAATTTAAAAACGTATAATTTTTTTAAAATATATTAGATTTTACATTAGAAAAAAATTATACGAATAATTAATAATAATAATAATAGCTTATTAAACAACCTTCGTAGTTTAGGTGGATGCTAGTAATTGGTAGAGTATATTTTGCTGGCCAAAGTAAATGCAACATTAATTAACACTTTTGAATATTCACTTAGACATTAAAATTTCAAATTAAAATATTAAAATCTAAATAGTAAATAATTAGTAAAAAATACTTATTTTTATTAAAATTTATTAAATATATAGAGATAGTTTATTTAGATTTTAGTAGTATCTAAAACTCAAGTGTTTAAAATTCTGATGAGGCCTTCTGTATATTATTTCATTGTGAGGTAATATTAGTATACAAACAATTAATTAATTAATTAAAATTACCTAAAGAATTGTTGTTAAATTATTTAAATTTTGGTTAGACCAAATCTATCGTCCAACTTAATTAATCACATTATTAATTCCAGCCCAAAAAATAGCCCCAATACTGCTCTAATTGTTTAAATTTCACAACTGTCCAATTCTATGTGACAAATTAAATGTATTAATTAGCTTTTGAAAAAAATAGAAAGTTATTAACAATTTGTTTTTAGATGATTGTTATTTATTTTATTGTGTTGATATTTTAAATTTAATGTTTGTTTTGATTGTTTATTTATATTTTATCGTGCACAATTATGTGTTATATACTGATAAAAATGAAAACTTTGTAGGAATAGGTAAATATATATTAGTTAATTAGCTAACATAACTATAATTTGAATTAATCACGGCTCCAAAGCTTAACTGTAATTTTGTGTCTCTTTCCCCTCTCTCTCGCCTCTCTCCTTGCTTATACATATACATATATAATTATATGACATATATACAAATGCAATCGCCTTTCTCCAATCTCTGCGCTTTCTCGCTCGTCTCTCTCAATCTCTCTCACCAGACGTACAATTGTATGTGTGTGTGTGTGTGTATATATATATTAGACAGATTTAAATATATAATTCACTTCTCTTCACTTTCTACCCCTTTCTCTCTCGCTTCTCTCCTCCCGCTCCCAATCTTGCTCGCTTCTCTCTTCCCTCTAACATATAGCTACGAATCGCAATTAGCAAATTATGACTAAGGAGATTAAAATTAGTTTAATGGCTACTTGTAAAAGTTTCCCTAGAAAAATTCATTATGTCCATTCTAAATTGTCATATTGCGCTTTTTGAAAGTTAACTTGACTCATTTTTAAAATTATATTAGATCACATTAATTCGATATTCAAACAAAAAATTTAGATATTCAATACCTATACGAAAAGGTACTATAAAACCAATATTTTGCTAAGTAATATGATAGAAAAAATACATCATAAAATATTAATCAGAATTATTATTATTTAACTCTTAAAATTTTTTTATCACAATTAAAAATGGACGAAAATGATAGCATTAATGCCCGAGTTGAAACAAAGGCAAGTCCTTAATAAAGGCGAATCTCATACTTAAAAGATTCAAACCAAGAGACTCATATTCAAACCAAAAAACTCATATCTAAGACTAACTCGAACCAAGAACTCAATATTTATAGGTGATGAACCCACAAATTTTAGCAATTCAAGTGTAAATGTAGGATCTTCTTGGAGTTTTAGGAACAGAAGAGGAGGTCTCTACAATATTCTTATATAATAATTGTGTTGTCATGTTAGTTTATAGTGCATCTCGATTAATTTCAGTTTTATTATATGCATGTATTATTAGTCTTTATAAAAATTTGGAGGTGAGAGCTAAGGTGAATCTTCGATGAAAAGCAGAGTTTAAATTCTCTTTTTTTAATCTCAAAAATATTCTCTGGATTACAAATTTCTACACTACTAATTCTTGAGTTTTTTTTTCTACTTAATAACCCCCAAAAGATTTTAAGTGTTGACAAAATAAAATAACTTTTTAAGTAATAATAAAATATTTAATATAAAGACACGAATATTTTAATTTTTTAAAAATAATATTAATTTATTTATTAGTGAAAAAAAGATAAATATACCCCAAACTATCGTAAATGGTTGCTACCCTCCGTCGTATTTTTGGGACATTGGTGTCCCTGTCGTTCAAAAACTAGAGCATATATACCCTTTATATTAACGGACATACACGTGTCATAATCTTATCCATCGATCCGACATTTATTGACAGATAAGATTACGACGTGTGTCCCCGTTTAATCTTCCGTTAGAGTGAAGGGTATATATGCTCTAGTTTTTGGACAGCAGGGACACCAATGTCAAGTGGCGGGGTTAAAATTTTTTATAAGGAGGTTCAAAAGCAAATCACGATTAAAAAATATAATGTTAACCAACCATATATAAATAGTAATATTTTCCGTTGAAGGGGTTCAAATGAATCCTCTAACTCTATGCTAGCTCCGCACCTATCAATGTTCCAAAAGTATGACAGAGGGTATCTACATACCATTTACAATAGTTCAGGGGTAATATGATACATATATAAAATAGAAAAAGGGTTAAAATTGCCCCTGAACTATGCGAAATAGACCACTTATACCCTCCATTACATTTTGGGATCAAATCTGCTATTATCCTACAAGACTACAAATACCCTCAAGTTAACACCCCAATTTTTTGGTGACGTGGCATGCCACATAGGTCTAATTCTTCCACCTAAGCTTGCAACTAAGATTCACTACAAAAGAACTAGATCTTTAATGGCGACAAACTTGTGAGGTTATGAGTGATTTTTAGTGACGACTAATAGTAAAACCTATTTTTTTAAAAAAAAAATATATATTTAGTTTTCAATTGTAACCTAATTTTCTAAAGTAAATAACTTGCAATATCAATATAAAAAAACACCCAATATTATTTACGAAAAATCATGAAAAATACTTTTAGATTCACATCTCCTATTATATAATGTATCGTTGCACATTTTATACATTTACATATAACATAAAAATAAAACATACAGTATCTTCAAACTCCTACTTAATCGATATCATTTTTGTTTTTCTGAAAAACAATGAAGAAAAAAACACAAAATTAGAAGTTAATGTTAAAAAATTTTGAGACGATTTTTTAAGGATTTTATGGCGACTATTGTCGCTACTAAAAACTACATAATTTCAGAGCAATTTTGACCAATTTCGTATATAAAATAATATGTGAAAGAAGATCTTAGATTTGGCTGGAACTATAATAAAGTTTCTATGGAAGACTGTAGATTCCTCTCAAAGATGAGGCTACATTACACTTGAATTGCTAAAGTTTCTCGTTTCATCGCCTATAAATGTCACTGCAATTTCTATCTCCTTCATCATCAAACGAAACCAAAAATTCAAGCTTTATTTACTTTATACTCTGTTTTCCACAACCCAATTTTGAGCTAAAATGTCTCTGATTCCATCCTTGTTTGTTGGTCGCAGGAGTAACGTGTTCGATCCATTTTCACTATATATATGGGATCCACTAGAAGGGTTTTCAATTGCAAACCGTTCATCCTCTGTTTTCGCAAATGCAAAAATCGATTGGAAAGAAACACCAGAAGCTCATGTATTTTAAGTGAAAGCCATTGATATTTCTGGTCGATTGAAAAAAAAAAAAAGTTGCAGATCAAGTGTTTGTTGAAAGTCCTCTGTCAATAATTGTTATAATTTGTGTATTTTAACTTGATCTTGTTATCAAAAAATAAAAATGTAATGTGAGTTTGATAATGAAATAATTTCCTTTAAACAAATACCCTTTTTTCTCGTAATAAAATTTACGTATATTCTATATTTTTTTCTAATTTTTTTTACAAATGAGATCTGCGTACGTTCTATTCTTTTTCATTATCTATTGTCATTCTCATTGTGGGGGAGGTGTGATGTTGCTCTTAACTTGCACCTTCACATTTTAATTGCGGGGAGGTATGAAGATAGTTCGATGTATTAAGCATTTTACAAATTCATATTCATGTAATGTACATATTTTAATTTCTATTAAGACAGTTTGATGTACTAAACGTTTTACATATATATATATATATAGGTTTATAACTTTTGCCGAGCTAGTATTATGCACTAAATATCTCACATTCATATATGGATCTTAACTCCTATCAGACAGTTTGGTGCACTAAGCATTTCACGTTCATGCAACATATGAGTCTTAGTTTCTGTCAGGATAGTCTAGTATAATACATAGCATGATTATTAACTTGGCGTCAATTGACAATTATGACCTTTTAACTTTGGATGTGTACAAGTAAATACTTAAACTTGTATAAAATTGATTAAATGAACCTATTTGTTCTACAAATTACTCTATATGACAATTTTGTGTTCTACGTGACGTCCTGCATGTATAATGTCATGTAAAACATGTCTGTTTACTTGTTAAATTTTATACGAATTTAAATATCTATTTTTGCACACTCAAAATTGAAGGGCTTTATTGTCCATTGAAGTCAAATTAAAGGTCATATTTATGTATTATGCCAGATAGTTTAACGCACTAAATAATGCAGCATACGAGTCTTAACTTTGATAAGACAGCCTGGTACATTAAGCATCTTACACTATAAGCATTTCATATTCATGTAGTATACAGATTTTAAGTTCGGTGTATTACGAGTTTTATCTTCAGTTAGAACAGTCTGGTATATTAAGCATCTTACATTCACGCAGGATATGTAAACTAAACAAGAAAAGGCACTTCCAGACTGGATTCTGCACTAGAAATTGACCATTAATTTGCAAAAGTTTTATTCCAAAATGGTTACAACAATCTCCTCTTTTCTATACTACACTGCAAAATACTGGTATGAGAATGAACTGACTTGTTAAATAAATAACAAAACATTTACTGAAGCACAGCAATTACATCAGATGCCCTCAATGTGATGTATTCAGAACCATCAGCTCCTTTGAAGTCATTGCCAGCATATTTGGAATACAAAACTGTATTTCCAGGAGATACTGAAAGTGCTTTCCTTTTCCCTTCCTCGTCGAGAGGACCGGGTCCAACAGCTATCACCTGATTGCAACCACGGAAAAGGTGAACGATATCAACAAGAATTAAGACTTCTATACACTAACGTTTTCGACTAACACGTCACCTAAAAGAGAACTACATGTTGATTAGGGTGTAAATTCTTTCACTGTCACAAGTCATTTGGCTCACATGATAGTTGTATGAGAAACTATAATGCAAGAATATGTTTCGTTCTTGTTTTAGTTAGAGCAACGAGACTTCCCAGCGCATTGTAAATACGTGTAGTCTTATTTCACATTTTATGTAATGTAGCTATTATTACATAAAGCCAACACATGCCAATTTTATGTTGGAATTGGTTATTTCAAACTGTATAAATATATACCTTGCTAGTACTTTTTGAAAATGTTGCTGCACATGTGTCGGGGGTCCTCGAATAATATACTATTCTTAGAGGGTTCGACAAGCATCCGTTGACATTCCTCTAAAAGTATACTATTCTTAGAGGATTCAACAGGCACTCATTGACATTTTCAAAGATTCTGAGCAACATAGATAACAAGTATATTCTATCAACAAGTATAATGAGAGTAATAATACTAGCTGAACTGCAGGGAGCATATTATTACCGCGCCAAATGAAGGTTTCTCCTTTGCAGCCTGGCTCAAAAACAATCCCCCAGAAGTTTTTTCCTCAACTTCAGCCACCTGATAAAAAAGTCAAAAACTCTCACAAACCAGAACTTAATACTTAAAAAAAAAAAGAGAATTAATGATCGAAGACACACCAGAACTATCACTTTTCACACTCCAACTACCGGTGACAAGGCGTAGATGGTAATAGTTCAGGTATATAAAAGGAACAATTGATTATATTGGGATATGAAATTCGTGACAAGTCATATATTGGGATAAAGGAAACAAATTGATAATTGGGATATGAAACTCGCAGAAAAAATGATTACTCGGGTTTGTTTTTACCATTATCCGAAGAAAATGATATTCGAGAATAGCGAATAATGTAGAAATATTTATCAGAGTATGGACCATTTAATCAAAATATAGATGCCACAAAAAGAAACAAATAAAGAGCAATAGTAACAAACCTTGATTAGAACTCTGTCATTCAAGGGCTGCAGATCCTTGATATCATCTGTCTCAAGTATGCCAACAATGTCATCCTCTTTCAAAATCAGGTGCTTTGATCCATCAAACTCCAGTTCAGTTCCCGCATATTTCGAGTACACCACGTGGGTACCATTCTACACGTAAAACGTTCCGTTTAAAAAAATGATCAACCATGCTTAGAAGACATGCTGAGTATGACATTGATTACGGAACTACCTTTATACTAATCTCCACCGTAGTCTTGCCAATTGAATGACCTTCCCCGACAGCAACAACCTCGCCTCCTTGCGGCTTCGACTGTGCTGATACTGGAAGCAGGATGCCGCCTACACTCTTCTCCTCTGCAGTCTTAATCTTCACCAGAACTCTATCACCCAATGGTTTGAGTGAAGTGTACTGTGCGAACAACAACAACAAAACAAGGAAGCATATAAATATAAAAACTTCCCCAACAGACAAAACTAGACTCTGAAAACCACTAGATACTAAAATTGATTAATACAATCAACTAAACCAAATGCAGAAAATAACAGATATAACAATATTCAACGAATTCAGCTTTGATTTTCAAATACATATTTGACAGAAGATATCTATTTTATCCAGGCTATGAATGCCAGAACTCAGCTCACTAACTTGGAAAAAAGGAACACAATAGGCAATCACCCAATAACAACCTCATCACGTAGCTTTAACCAACGACAGACAAAGCTACATAAACAGCAAAAGTATCAGAACAGTCAGCTTAACTCAATTAGCAACTTACTTTAAGCAGTCCAATTTTGTGTTGGAAGTAAGTGGTTCGGAAAACTATTCCCAGCAGATTACATTTACCGATGCTCTTAAACTCTAATTTACAAAATGCAACTTTGACAAACGAAAAGTTGACATGGTCGTATAACAACAAATTTGGGAACAGTGAAAAGAACCCATCAAGGTGATTCTACCTACCTTCTCAGCTATTACATTTCGAGCAAAACATAAAACAAGAGCTATACAGGAAAAAAAACCAAACTATATACCTTGGGGGATACAACTGTTGAAGCCTTAACGACGAGTCCATGGAACGACCTTCTATTCTGCTTTAAAGGAGCGAAAGACGCAACCTTTAAATTACTTATGGATCTAAGCCCCTCAAAGGATGCAAAACCCTTGGCAGAGATGGATGACGCGGTCAGCTGAGTTGTCGCCATTCCTTTCCGAGCTCAATCAAGAAACCCCACAACAGAAATAGTCAATATCCTCAAATCCCAGAAGCAAAAAGAGTACAACCATAGATAAAAACTCAAGAATTCTGAATGTAATCCAGAACCCTACAACAGAAATGGAACCCCACAAGCAAAAAAGAGTAAAACTCAAGGTAAGAACCATATAATTGTGAACTAAACCATAATCCCCACTACAAAAAGGGTAAACAGCAGCTCCCCACAAGCAAAAATAGTAAAAAAAATGTGACAAGCTATAGAATTAAAGATAAAGAGTAGCACCAGCAGAAGCAAAAAGAGGAACAGTTACAGATAAGAACCATAAAATTCTCAACTAAATCAAGAACCCCACAACAAAAATACCACAGCAGAAGCAAAAAATATCCTAAATTGGAAGACAAAAATTCAAGAATTTCAACAATGATAATAAAGATTGCACCTTTATTATTGGGAGATTAGTTTCACTAATAACAAAGGAGAAGTTTTCTCTAGATAAGAACCATAAAACTCTGAACCCCACAACAAAAGTGGTCACAAGAACAGCAAACCAGAAGCAAAAAATAGTAAATTTAAAGACAAAAGTTCAAGAATTTGAATCAAATGATAAAAAAGGAAGCACCTTTATTGGCAAAATTGATGAGCCTTAATAGCAATGGAGAGGTTTTCTCTACTATGGACTGAAGGTGTGTGTTTAGACTTTAGACTATTGTAGATAAAATGTGTAGAGCTGTTAAGGATAACAAAACCCTAGAAGTTTCTAAGAGGGACTTCCTTTTCTTTTTTATTTGTTTTTTCAAATTTCAAAGAAAAAAGAAGTCCATATATCGAAAATAATATCTCTACCTCGTATTCCACTTCTTGAATTATACTTGATAGTTGACACTATTGTTCGTTTTCTACTGACCTAATAGTAAACGCGAGCTTTACCAACTATTGTTGAAAAATCTTGTTGAAAAAATAACTTGTTTTGAATTCGGTGATACATACTTGATAGTTCACACTATTGTTCTTTTTCTAATGACCTAATCGTAGAAGCGGAGCTTTAACAACTATTGTAGAAATATCTTATTAAAAAAAAATAACGTGGTAAAAATTTACTTTGAATTTAGAGATACATTTATTAATCTAACAAAGAACTACTATTCTAAGACTCACTTGAAACCTAATTTCTTTTTTTTTAAAAAAATCATCATATTAAATATGTTTAACATTTGAATAGATTTTTCAAAGTTAAAATGTTTTATGTATTTTGTATTTGATTATATCTCCTTCGTTATTGGCAATATCGGAAACAACCTTACTACTAAATATTTATTCCGCTGCATCAACATCATCAAACAAAAAGATCTTTACGTAAATACACAATTTTATTCATTATTTACTTTTGAATGAACATATCAACCAATGTATTCAGTGTAATTCCATAGTAAAAGTTTAACGCTACACAGACCTTACTTTTACCTTGAACGAAGTAGAAAAGTTATTTTTGATAAATCACGACTTTAAAGAAGCTCAAACAAAATACTAAGAAAGAAAAAAAATGTTGACAATACAAATAATAAGGTAACCAAAGAAAAAAGAAACAAAGATTGATTAATAAAAATGAAGAATAAGATAATAACAATAATAGGGGGAAAAAAAATCACTCAACTATCTACTAACATTCTATTACTAACATTCTATCCATTCATTTCTGATCATCGACCTTCATGATCTCCTATTTAGGGTCAT